AGGGATTAGAATGTTCCAGTGAGCGTTGAGCAGCGCACTTCCTACTACTGGGGGCCAATTTCGGAGAGTGTGCTCCCCAATTTCCTCCACAGGTACGAAACCCTCCCTCCACCGACCGAGTACGACCCTAGGGCCTCAACCCACGTGCGGAGTTGATGAGCAGATCACGCAACACGCCACACACCCAGCCATACGCCTAACTGTAGCCATACGAGTCACTCGTCTGCGCCATCTTACGCATGAGTGGGGCGCGATTAGCTCCCGCATTTTGGTATTACCGCGCGTAATTAGAATCACTTTAATAATACAGCTCACCTGGACACACCTGGACAGCAGCTTTTTACTTGACCGCATTCCCTCTCAATACGCTTTGTGACACCGCTAAAACAGTTGACTGGTGTGCGTATGATACTTCGCCCGAAGGCAAATATTGAGGCAGATCGATAGGCGTTCATGTCACAGGAACTTTCCTAAATGACAAAAAGCGGTAAATCAGGAATGGAGTTGCAATGGGATTTCTTCCTTCTATTCTTCCTGCAATGGGAAAGAGGATCGTCATGGGACCAGTCTTTTCTACCTCTCCCGCCTACTTCCTGATCATTTTCATGTCCACATTTCCCATGCATCACGCAGGAGATGCAGTTGGTACCGTGATAATCAGTCGGAGGGGGAGGGGGAGGGGAAGGGGGGAGTGTCGAGAGGGATGGGACAAGCCCATCCGAAAATCAGTCACTAGCCGTTCACCATTGGGAGAGCAGGCAGCTGGAGCCCATCCCGCCCTTCCTGACACCGCCCCGACTGATCGACAGGATGTCAACTATATAAACACTCATAGGTGCCAAGCATAAGATACCTGAAGAAGTTATGAAGATGAATAGATAAACTTACTGGGTTGCCCTGCGCAGAGTTCTGCAATAGACATGTGAGTAATTCCTGATCCAGCTGTTCCTCCATCCTTTCTAACTTAACAAAATCTATTTTTGCTTGATTTAGCTTCAATACAACTTCACTAGAAACCATACATTACATTAAGGTCTCACTTATACTGGTTTTGCTAATTCACCCTGTATATTATGAAAAAAAAACCAAAAACCTCACTATGATGTAGTCGTTCCGCAGCTTTTCATGACAATCATTTGAGTCTCTAGAGTCAGGCAACCAATGAGGACGTAATCGAGAGTTTCCTGGAAGAGGTAAGGGTATAGTTTGTAACATCGAAGTCAGTGGTGTACGGCGAGAGCAGGTTATAGCGTCGTGATGTGTGAAATGGTGGTGCCAGTACGACCCCCCCCCTCGCCCCCCACCTGAACCTGAAACTCTCGGTATAGCCAATATGAAACGGGAAAATTTCTTAGATTTTCCCCCACTTTTCACCACTTTTTCCCAAAGTTCCCGGAAAATTTTCCTAAGTTTGTCCAAAAATTTTGCAGCAGGGCACATCATTACTTTAGTTTCGGTCGACTCCGTACGACCCCCCCCCCCCAGGTCGTTGCCTCTGATCGAACCGCGAGGCGGAAGGTACATTGGTGCACCTGAATTCGCGGTAAAAAGTCGCACAAGGAAAAATCCCCCGCTCTCGCCGCCTTCCCCCCATTTCACTTCCTCCCTTCTTACCTAACAGTTAGATTTTCTCATCTTCCCACCAGTTTTTTCCGGAATTTCCCGAAAATTCTTCCTAGTTTTTCCCGAAAATCTTGCTGTCACTGTCGAGCGAGGGGGGCACATGAAACGGATGAATCTACGAAAATGAACAAAACAACCACTCTCAGAAGGCCAAAAGCCAAATACGATCCCCCCCCTTTCCCAACAACCAGCAAAATACGACCCTTCCCTTCATAAGTCACTGAAACAGGAAAATCAACTACCAAAAAATATTTCTCAACACTAAAATACGACCCTCATCCCTAGCGACCAAATACGACCGCTATCCAAATACGACCACATCCCCGCAGGGTACATCATCGATGGGATTCCCCATCGATGATGTACCCTGCGGAAGTGTGGTGTGAGCGGATATTATTATTATACACATGAAACAGGAGAAATCACGAAAAGTCAACAACCGGGCCAGAAAAAATTTTTCCCCAACGCGGCAATTTTCTGTCAAAGGCACATAAGACCCCCCTCTCCCAACAACGATCAAATACGACCCTCCCCCCTCCCAGCCAAAAGTTCACTGCTTCACTGGTTCCGGTTTACAAGTCTCACTTGAAACCTGTGAACTCTTGTGAAGCTGGAACAAGCTCCCCGAGCCGCCATGGTGAATGTCCACTCTTATAAGCCATGAAATGGCTCTCTATATGGGTTGGCACGTCGATTTGAAATGGCAGAAGTGGAGCAAGCTCGTCAAGCCACCATGGTATACCCCGTCCCCGTCCCCCGTCCCCCTCCGTCGCCGAACTGCCCCACTTATCAGTGCGAATCGCCTATACTCGAAGCACCAGTTCAAGTAATAAGATTACTGAGTAGCCACATTCGTGACGGGTTTGGAGTGCACAGCGTATTCCGAGGGGAAATAATATAGGTAGGCCTTGCACCAATGCTCCCCACCCGCACTTCCCTACTCTCAGTGAGCTTTCGGTGAGCTTCTTGTGATGAAAATACCTGCACTCATCAATACATTATACAGAGGGGGAGGGGCCAAAAAAAGTCACTT